GGGGAAAATCTATTTGACCAAGAGGGAAAAAGGGGGGAAAGAAATACTTAAATAGATAAGAGCAAGAAAGAGGAATAAATAAGATTCTAAATGGAAAGGGGATAACAAATGAGAAGAAGGGATTAGGAATGAGGTAAACAGAGCCAGTGGGAACAAGATCACCGTTTAAAAAGTAAGTAAAGGAGCAAAATATTGTGTTTACAGCACGAGGGAAAAAATCATAACTCAACATCCCCTTCCCCAATTTTAGAGACAGTTGGAGGAAAATATAAAGCTAATTCTTACAACTTTAAATATGAATGGATTAAACAATCCAGTAAAATGAAAAAGTGTGACGGATTAGATAAGAAAACAAAACTCTAAATTTAAAAAAACAAAGACATACACATAATAAAACTTAGAGGATGGAAAGATTTGCAATGCATTAACTTAATCCATGAAAACAGAAGTTGCCATCGTGCTACTAGACAAACAAAAATAAATATTCAAAAAATAAAAAGGTATGAACAACAACACTATATTATGCTGAAAGGAACTATAGACAAAAGACCAATATCAACAGTAAACTTACATGTTCTAAATGACCTAGCATCCAAATTCATAAAGGAAAGCTTATCTGAGCTTCAAAAAGACCTTGATGGTAACACGATAATGAAAGGACACTTCAGTGTCCCGCTATCAGTTATGGATAAGTCAAACAGAAAGATAAATAGAAGAGAAAATATGAAACTAAACAAATTTCTGGAGAAATTGGAGTTAAAAGACTTATGGCATCTTCTAGATGGGATAGCAAAATTACATATATATATTTATATATATATATATATATATATATACACACACATTTATATTTATATGTACATACATATGTGTGCATATATTCACACATATATACACACACAAATACATACATTTTATATGTGTGTGTGTTTCTTTGAATCGTGTGTAACTTTTACAAAACTGACTATATAAATGATATATGTGATTAATACAGAGAAATATGCAAAAACCTATATGAACCAATGCAGAATAAAGTAAGCACAGCCGAGAAAACAACATACACAGTAACTACAACAATGTAAATGAAAAGAATGACCCCCTCATCAAAAATAAATATAACAAAATTATAAAGATCAAGTGGGACTCAAATGAAGAGATATGAGAAGACACTTATAACCTAACCCTTCATGGAGGTAGGAATTTCACGGGTGGTACCCATTGCACATGTTTTCATACTTTTTCAATATATTAATCAGTTGTGCTGACTTTTTTTCCCTCCTCTCTAAAAATATTATTTGTCATATCAGATGACTCTCTGTGAGGAGAAGGGAGAGGGATACATGCAATAGTATGGTGATATAAAAAACAGAAAATATCAACAAAAACTTGTTAAAATAACCACAAAGACAAAAATGTTTAACCTCAAATTTGTAAGGTTTTTTTTTAGCAAACAATTTAGAATTACCACTTTATGTGCCTTAAATTGGGGAAAAATTTGAGTTATAGAATTTAACATTAGTAAAGCTGAGGGGTCAACTGGTACACTGTTACGTTACTTGTGGCTTTGTGAAAGGTTGTAGCTTTTTTGAAGGACAATCTGACTGCACACAATAAGAGTTACACAAATGATTATACCCTTTGACTCAGAAATTAGATGACTTGAAATATGGTCCAAGGTTTAATAAAAAAGAATACGTATGCACACACATATAACTCATGTAACTATAAAAGAAACTAAGGAAGGTTTTGGATATTTTGCATCAAATCTTATACAGAGGATTTCTGGGGAGACATAGATAAAAATTACATAACATGAGAAGTGAAGAGCAAAAAATCCGCAATAGTGTTATTTGTAACAAAAACAAATTGGAAAGAATCTGAGTGATCGATGGTTAAAGAATGGTTTAACAAATTGTGCAATAATTGAACATAACATTAAGAGTGATGTATGAGAAATATACAGATACAGAAAATCATGTGAAACAATACAAAGATGAAGAACTAAAATATTTGCACATAGTATAGCAATATTTGGTAGAAATATAAATGGGCAGAGATCAGAAAGGAACATAGAGCGAATAGCAGATAATTTGTTAACGCTACCAACTTAGGGTGGGCAGTTATGTGGTTCAGTGGATAGAGCGCTGGGTCTGGAGGCAGGAAGAGTTGAGTTCAAATCTGGCCTCAAACACTTACTAATTGTGTGACCCTGGGCAAGTCACTTTACCTCTTTTTGTTTCGATTTCCTCATTTGTAAAATGAGCTGGAAAGGGAAATAGCAAACCATTCTGGTATCTTTGCCAAGAAAACCCCAAATGGGGTTCCAAAGAGTCAGATATGACTGATCAACTTAAGGCATTTTTTGAGAGGGAGGTATTAAATATATTCATATTGAGTTTTTTTGTTAAATTCTTGATAAGAATTTTAAAACACACAAGCATGTCATTCCAACTCTTTCTTTTAAACAGAATTTCTGCACTGGACATATTAAGGAAACACCCTAGAATTATATACCTGGATTTCAGCAATCTTGCAGTTAATAAAGTTCTTATAATACTCTTATGGACAAGACAGAGAGATATGGATTGGATGAGGGTTCAGCTTGGTAGATTTAGAGCTGGTTAGATGAGACACCAAGAATGTTGAGAGAAATGTCAGCCTGGAGGGAGGTTTCTAGAGACGTATCACAGGGTATGTCCTTTGTCCTGTGCTGTTTCAAAATTTATTGATACAATGTTGATCTAGGTCGATATATTCTCATTAAATGTGTGTACATCGTGCAGCTGGGAGGGACTAACAACTTGGGGGATAAAATTAATATTCAAAAAAAGATAGTTTTGAATGATGGGCTGAGGCTAAAAAGAGGCAATTTAATAGGTAATAAGTATTAAGGCCTATATTTGGGTTAAAAAATCAATTGTAGGAGCAGCTAGATGGCACAGTGGATAGATCACCAGCCCTGGAGTCAGGAGGACCTGAGTTCAAATTTGGCCTCAGACACATAGCCCTCACTAGCTGTGTGACCCTGGGCAAGTCAGTTAACCCCATTGCCTCGCCAAAAAAAAAAAATTAATTGTATAAATATGGCTGGATGTGAAAAGAAGAAAGGAAACATGCACCTATTAAATGCCTGCTATGTGTCAGGCACAGCTAAGCACTTTGAAAATGTATCTCATTTTAGCTCATTTAAATCTTACAACCATGCTAGGAAATAGGTGTCATTATTATCCCCATTTTATAGTTGAAGAAACTGAGTCAGACAGAAGTTAAATGACTTGCCCAGGGTCAAACAGCTAGTAAATAACTGGCTAAATCTGACTTCAGGTTTTCCTGACTCCAGGTCCACTGATCTATCTGCTGTGCTACTACCTGCCTCTAAGAAAATGGGGACTTTAGGAATTTTAACTACTAGTAAACTCTGCATGAGTCAAGAATGTGATGTGGCCCATCTCAAGCTACATGAATTGGAGCAAAGCATCCTTTGTACTCTGATCAGATCCCATGAGGAGAATTGTATTCATTTCTGGGCAGCAAACCCTAGGAAGGATATTAGCTGGAATACATCTACAGAAAGGCAGCTAGGATGGTAAAAGGATTCAAAATCATGAAATGAGGTATGAAATGGGAAGAACACAAGATTTGGACACGGAGAGCTCGAGTTTGATCCTGGCACTGCTGCTCACTACCTATGAGACTTGGGACAAATTACTTCTCTCTGGGATTCAGGGTCCTTATCTGTAAAATGAGTGGAGTTGGCTTGGGCCTCTAAATCATCCTTCTAACTCAACCTTCCAGCTCTAATCTAATGCTATCATCCTAAGAATTTTTAGCCTGGAAATGACAGAGACAAGGAGCACGTGGCACTGGGAGGGAGCTTGGCGGCTATCCAGACCAACCCCTCCCTTTTAAAGATGATAAAAGCTTTCACATGGAAGAAGGTTTAGACACATTCTTCCTGGCCACATAGGGCAGAAGGTACAGAAGCAGATTTTGTCTCAATGGCTGGGGCCAGTGCAAGATGTAGATCATGACAACTGGAGATGGCCCCCACCCAACAATGGAACAGACTGCCTCAATAGATATTGTACAGATAGATTTAGAACTGATTGCTCTCACAGATTTTTGTTAGTCCTTTATTCTCAGAGAGGACCAATGACATCAGGAGGGTGATTTATAAATGAATTGGATTTAAATGACTAGAGATGTGCAAAGTCATACAGCCTCTCTCCTCCAGGTGTTCTGAGTCCAGTGGGAAAACATAGATCAGGATGACTGGAGATGGCCCCAGATGCAGAGGGAGACCTTGTGGCCTTTTTAAGCTAAGGTCTTTCCTAGGTCTCAGCTTGTTTGAGGCAATGCCCATTCAGTGACTACAGGCTAGGTAAGAATTGAGGCAAAAGATGGCCTAGTTTGCCTTCCCAAAAGAAGCAACCTTAGAGAGGAAGACCCTCAGAGTTTTTGGCCAGAACATTAACAATTGCTATTTACACTCACTCTGAGTCATCAAAACCCAAACAATGAGCAAGAGAGTCTTGGGCTGGAATTATTATAGGCCAGTCACCGGGAGCCTACAGTCTATAGAATCATTTGTTAGGGAAATTGCTTCAGGTAGGATTGAGACTAGGTAAACTGAGGCTTCACCTAGCTCTAAGATTCTACAATCATTCAGTAAGCCTTTGTTAAGTGCCTACTGTGTGTCAGGCACTGTGCTAAACACTGATATGATGAAAGCCAAAATGAACCTGTTTCTGTCCTCAAGAATCTTATATTCTATTGGGGAAAACAATATGAAAACATCCAAGTATTGTACAAAGTAAATATAAAGTAATATTGTTCTACACATGAAAAAATAGAGACCCACGGCTAGGAAGTGACTCGTCCAACGGTCCGTAGAGAGCTCAGGTGTCCTATTGCTGAGTCCAGGGCTACTCCTAGTAGAAACCAATCATATCCTTTTCTAACCCATCCCTACCCAACTTTGCTGCTGTGGCTTATCCTACCTGGTCCTGACGGAGCTGAGAACCAGCGCATGGGGCATAGCACAGGAGACAGAGTTGGTTGCAGTGACAAGAACAGAGGGGAGGCAGCACCTGCTACACACAGGAGAGCCTCGTGAAGACAGCTGCTAGTCCTGAGGACCCCTGCCCACACCCCCACCCCACCCCATCTGAGATGGGTCCTTCTGCTTCTCTGTCTCTACCAGGGGCCAGGGAGCTAGACTCACATGGCAGGCCGGAGTTTGGCAGTGCCCTGGAGATACTGAGCAGGGGCAGAGCAGGGAGGGACTGCAGAAATGCTGAGGAGGGCATCGGACACTGCGGCCGGCAGAGCAGAGGAGGCGCCTGTAAGAGATGTTAGGGGAGCGATATCTTCAGGAAGAAGGAAGAGATCTGCGTATTGCTAGGCCTCAGCTCTCCCTTCTGCACTCCTGGGTGGAGGAGGCACAGTCCCCATACAGCATGGCCTTGATTCTGAGGCTTCCCAGGACTTCCACTGAGCCGAGGCGCCATCCTCAGCCCCCTCCCAACACCTCACCTGTTGAGTTCATTAAGCTGTTGAACCAAGACTTGCTTCTCTTTCTGGGCACAGTCCCTGCTGCTCCGAAGCTGATGTTTTTCCTCTCTGGGAGAAGAGCATGACAAGAAGAGAAACCCCTTCTTCCTCTCCTCCCATACCCCCTTCTGCTCCTTATCCAGAGAATTGCCCTATCAGGCTTCCCAGGTCATGAGGCATCCCTGGGGACAGTCTGACCCACTGCCTATAGAAAGTAGGACTAATGGTCCTGGGAGAGATGAGGGTAGGGGCGGAGCTGAATGGCTATGAGCTCTAATAAGCCCTCATATTCATATCATGCTCTGTACAACTTCTCTTACTGGATCCTCACCGAATCCCAGAGATTATTCTATTTTATAGATGAGAAAACTAAAGCTCAAAGAAGGAAGTGACTTGCCCAAGGTCACAAATTTGGTTAGTGACAGAACTGTGACTAGAATCTAAATCTATTGATGAACACACACACACACACACACAAATGCACAGTGGTAAACTTGGAAGGGACTTTTGAGATAATTTAATTCAATCCTCATTTGACAGAGATAAAGAAGGCCCAGAGAGGAGAAATGACTTCCAAAATCAGAATTCTTAGAGTGTGAGCTCCTTGAGGACAGAGACCGTGTCTTGTGTTTTATATTTATATTTCCTCACACCCCCTACAATGTCGAGAGCATGGTGGGTGCTCAGTGAATATCTGTTGAATGAATGGAGACCTGATCTTGGCTCTCAAAGTCAAGGTTCTTTCTAGCACAACACAGATTGGTTGAGGGAGGATGTGGAGAGGAACGTGGAAGGGTAATACCCAGGTTAGGAAAGCTAGATTTGGGTCGGTCAGTGTAGAAGTGCCAACCACAAACATGTATGTGGAGGGTTTTGATAAGTGCTTTGGGAAGATAAAGGGTTTAGATATGGCATAATCCTATCCTCACCGAGTTTATAGTTTGGTAGAAGGATAGGACAATGTAATAATGATGATGACGATGATGAAGACGACGATGATGGTGATAACTAGCATTTATATAGTATTTTAAGGTTTATAAAGCACTTTGCAAATACTATCTCATTTTATCTTCACAATAACTCTGGGAGGCAGGTGTGATTATTATTCCCATTTTACAGATAAAGAAACTGAAGCAAACAGATTATCACCTGAGTATATCTGAAAGTTGTTTTAAAAAAAATGCTCAGGGGCAGCTAGATAGTGCAGTGGATAGAGCTCTGGCCTTGGAGTCGGGAGGACCTGAGTTCAAATCTGGTCTCAGACACATGAGACTTACTAGCTGTGTGACCTTGGGCAAGTCACTTAACCCCAATTGCCTCACCAAAAAACAAAACCAAAAACCAAAAAAAAAATGCTCTATGAGGTGTGAGGGAGAAGGTTGTTTTCAAATGGATGGAGGCTGGGGCAAGGATAGAGGCCCTACCTCAGCTGTTGGTTCTCTAGCATGAACTCCTGTAGCATCCCATAGAGGCTTCTCTCAGCCCAGCCAGACCGGGACCCCTTTCTCCTGGAGGCTACAGGAGGAATGGAGGAGAAGGGGGGATCTCTATAGCTACCCAGAAGCCCTATGGGAAGCTTGGAGATCCACTCTCAGCTTCCTGCTGGGCTGGGGGTGAGGATGGGGTGAGGATGGGAGAGAGGTTGAGTCTCTGCACTTTCTTCGTTCCCTATCAGATCCATAACTAAGGTGGCATGACTCAGGCTTCACCCCAGAGAGCTGAAATTGAGAAGGCATTAACAGCAGATCCAGGGCGTGCTTCTTTTCCCTGGTGGCCACATCCTGGATGAACTCCTCCATGGTTTGGGCCTACTCAGTCTTATCCTTACCACCCCTTTGTCTCAGGTTTATGAATTTCTTGTCATAGGTCTACTTCCCAATCATCATACCCCTGTGACCCAGAGGCTGCTCCAGCATCTGTTTCAGCATCAAATTCTCCTGACGGAGCTGCTGGATCTCCTCCTCAAGGCCAAGACGCTGTGGACCCAGGGGATCCTATAAAGCAAAGCTGGGGGGGGTTAATAGGAGGAATGGCTAATGTCTGCTCTGACCCCAGCCTTGCCCTAATGCTAACCTATCCAGTTAGAGGATAGGATTTAGAGCTGAAAGGGGTCTTAGAGTCCACCCAAGTCCAACCCCAACATTTTGTAGACAAAGAACCAGAGACCCAGAGAGGTAAAGCTATTTGCCCTAAGGTTACACAGGCAATAGATATCAGCCCTAGAATTCAAACCCAGGCTGTCATTGTAAATACTCCAGCCACGAAACCACAATTGTCCCCCTAGCCCCAGCTGGTCCCTAATAACAACCTGGGCCCTATTCTTCCCCTCTGCTCCCTACTTGACCCAAATCTCCTCAATACTGTCCCAACTAAGTTGTTCTTACCTTAGGCATGGCCCGGGTGGTGACCCTCTGAGCTCGACTGGCATAGCGTAGTGTATTGAGTGTTTCTGGGAGGGATTGGGCTGAAGGGGACACACAGGCCACCTGTGTGAGGGTCAGAGCTTAGTTGGGAGAGGGAAAAAAGAGGAGTAAAAAGGCCCTTTTTCCTGAATCTCTGCTTTCCACCCTCACCAGTCTGTAAGACTGGCCTTCTCCCTTGGACCTTTCCCATGGGGGCCAGAGAAGAGCACAGAATTGAAGAGTTGAGAGGACCTAGTGACCCCTAACTCTAGGATTCCTTCCTTGTGCCCCACCCCATACCATGAGGGTGATTCCACTGCCACCCAGAGAATCTGCCAGCAGTCGGGTCAGCTTGCTATCCCTGTAGGGGATGTGGTTCTTCTTCTGTCGTGGGTCCAGTAGCAGAGAGATGCAGTGGCCTGTGGGTGGGTAGCATGGTGAGCTCCATGGAAATCCATGGGGCCGCCATATTTCCCAAGGATCTTCCACGGGGGCTAAGAAGGCAAGGGGTAGGATCATAGATGGGGAGGAACCTTGGAAATCATCTGGTACAACTCTGTAACTTAAAAGATGAAGAAGACTGAGGCCCAGAAAGTTTACATGACTTGGACAAAAGAATTAAAAGAGCTTGAATTTGAACCTTGGTCTTCTGATTCTAATTCTTTTTCTCCAAATCTGTGCTTCTGCTCAGGCTACACCCTGAATATCTAAGCCTTCCCTATCCTTCAAGGCCCAGCCCAGAACTTCACCTCCTATGGGAATTCTTCATTGATTATCCCACTACTTCCTCCTCCAAATTCTTATTGTACTTAAGGGGGTGCAATAAAATATATGATTTGAATCTACTCATTGCTCTTGATATTGAGGAACAATAATAGTTTTCTGGCAGAACACAGAGTTTAGAGGAAAGAACAATAGGCACTTAGGAGATATGTATTGTTTCTGTTCAAATTTACTGAATATTTCTCATTACACGAGAAGAAGTGTTACATAACGGAGAGAGAGCCAATCTCACAATCTTGAACACCTAGGTTCAAATCCTTCCTCTGACACATGCTGTCTGTGTGATCTTGGGTGAGTCACTTAACCTCTTAGTACCCCAGACAATTATCTAAGATCATAAATTGCAGATCAGAGGCTGGCGTACACTGACAGAGGAAGTTTCTTTACTGGCAGTTTCCTATGGAATGATATCTCAGATCTGGTCCAATAACCAAACCAAACCAAACAATACCCTATTACATGTTAGATGCCAGTTTGGAGGTGTAACTAAATATAACACATGGGCCCTGTCCTCAAAAAGATTACAGTTTAGCTGTCTGACCACGTACAAGGCATTTACCCTTTTTGAGTCTCAATTCCCTCATTTATTAAACGAAGGGGGTCGAACTAGGTGGTTTCTAAGGCTTTCTTTTCTTTTCTTTTCTTTTCTTTTCTTTTAGTTTTTAGGCAATTGGGGTTGAGTGACTTGCTCAGGGTCACACAGGTAGTAAGTGTCAAGTGTTTGCTGAGGCTGGATTTGAACTCAGGTCCTCCTGACTTCAGCACTGGTGCTCTATCCACTGCACCACCTAGCTTCCCCTAAGGCTTTCATTTCTAACATTCCATGTTCTAATGCGCCGTCAAGCTCTGACATCCTATGATTCTATGGTATCACCACAAGACTATAAGCCAACTCTAATGGGGACCAGGTCTTCACCTGCCCAACCCCCCCATTGCACAGAGAGAGCTAAATATAAAGTAGGTTCTTAATAAAAAAAAAATTTGAACGTATTACTTAATGGAAGATGGAAAAGGAGAGTCCAGGTGTGGAGAAGACACCCCAGCCCACCCCTCTCTGCTTACCTAGGGCTAGCAAGCTGCGGTTGATGTTGCTGGCCTCCAGCATCAGCTCTCCTCGAGAACATGTGGCTGCTACTTTCTCACTGCCCGCCAGATCTACAAAGCACAGCTTTCCAAATGTCTGCTCTTTGGGCCTGCTGGGGCATCCCTGTTGAAAGAAGAGTCAGGAGCCTACTTGGGAGGTACTGCCCTCCTCCCACCCAAAGAGGATGGGAAATGTAAAGTTGAAAGGGACCTGAGTAGTCATCTGGTCTAACCATTTTATGGATGAGGAAACTGAGACCCAGAGAGATTAGTGACTTATACAAGATTATATAGATAATGGAGCCAGGATGTAAACCCAGGTCTTCTGGTCCCCAATCCAGCCCTCTCTGGGCTCCAGCTTCTGCTTGAAGTCCCTTCAGTGATGGGGGACTCACTCCCTGACAAATCAGCCCATTCCATTTAGGGGCAGCTTTAATCTTTAGGAAGCCTTCCTTTTGTGGAACCAAAATTTGTTTTTCTGCCATCTATCCATGGATCCTAGCTGTGTCCTCTGAGGTGTAAGCAGCACAAGCATTATCATCTCTTTTCCACATAATAGCCCTTTAAATACTAGAAGACAAGCCTCACTTTCCTTTTAAAGGGAGACACCAAGGACCCTTTAAAGAGTTCCCAGATGTCTTGGTGTGACCAATCTGTCATTTGGTATAGAATTGAATTATCTGTACCAATGGACAGGGAAGCGGTAGTTATCAAAAGGCCAAAATAACTAATAAACCCTTAGTGATTTCTATTTGTTGTTCACTCATTTTTTTCCAGTTATGTCCAACTTTTTGTGACCCCATTTTCTTGGCAGAGATCCTGAAACAGTTTGCCCATTTTCTTCTCCAGCTCATTTTACAGGTAAGGGAACTGAGGCAAACAGAGTGAAGTGACTTGCCTAAGGTCACACAGCTAGTTAAGTGTCTGAGGCTAGATTTGAACTCAGAAAGATGAGTCTTCCCAACTACAGGCCCTGCACTATCCATGGCACCACCTAGCTGCCTCAGTTATTTCTATTGGGCTTTATCAATCCCTCCTCTTTAGTCCATATTCCTCCTCCTCTTTTCTGCTCCCCATACCTGCCCCCATCTTAGCAGAATTAATTTTCAAGCTATGTACAGCCCAGGCTGTGTTAGCTGGAGAGATGAGTCAGGTGGGGAATTATCCTGAAATTAACATTATTAAATTAAAATTATCCTGAAAGGTAAGAAACAAATGGGAGATAATTTGCTGGTGGATAATTGAAAGACAAATTTATTTGAGGCTGAAAGTCAGGCAGTGTCTTGCACCTTTCCTCTGGGAGCTTCTTTTCTAAGATAAACATCTTGGACATTTCTGCCACCTCCCCTCCCCTGGACACACACTAAATACCCTCCTTTCCCCTCCCCCCACACACACACACACACACACACACACACACACACACACACACACACACTCACACACACTCCTTTCTTTGTGAGGCCAACTCACAACAGGGCACTGAATATGGATGGTGAATAGAGCATGGCTACGGCTGGAGACCTCATTCAGACTGTGAGCTGAACTCCGACGTCTCCTCAGACCTGGAGAAGACAGTGGTATAGGTAAAGATTCAATACTGTCACTGGAGACATGCAGAATAAGTAGACATATCCTCATCCCCAGGCTGGGTTCCCTGAGTGAGTGAGTCAGCCAAGGTATCTATCTGTAGGTCTAAAAAATCTGGTTACTCATTTCTATTTAGAAAAGTATCTCTATATTGGCTACATACCATGGCTTTTGATTTTAACAAGCTACTTTGCATTTATATTTTACTTTGGGTTTATGAAATGTATTCAAATTTAAGTCTTCATTTTATCCTTACAACATCCCTGAGAAATAGGCAGGGTAGAGATTATTATTCCTGGAATATCAGCTTCAATAATCTCTCCCATAGAAACTATGGATTCTATTACTGTATGTTTAAGAGGCAATGAAATTTTGTCATTACAATTTAGCCATTATTCTTTGAGGAGTCCGTGAGGAGAAAGAGAGCTTAACTTTTGTTCTGGAGGGACTATTAATTGTGATATCTGAAGACAGGAGAGAAAAAAAAGACTTGAGAAAATTTATTTCCTTTAGAGAATTGGGTTCAACTTTTGTCTTTGAAAGAAACAAGAAAAGAATTCCTTGGAAAAGTCTTTAATTGGCATCCTGAGAAAACTAAATGGTGGGGCTATGTTTACTGAACTGAAGAGAAGTTAGTAATCGGAATGTTGGTTAAACATAATATGGCTTTCTCATAGCTAGTATATCTTAAACAGTTACATGTGTCTGGTTTTTTTTATTGTTGATTATACTGTTAATAAATAGTATAGTCATTAACTCTGATATTTATTTAAGTCTAGGCTATCAGGGAATTTGATATAGAGAGGTGCTCAAAAGCCTATGAGAACATGGGAAAATAAATTTCTCCAGATAATTAAATAAAAATTAATTAACTAGAACGGGAGTTCAAATTGATGAGAGAGATATTATACTAATATCTAGCAATTAATAAGGAAATACCAAAATATTGCCTTAAAACTCCAGTATGAGAATAAGAAAAGTGAACTAGTAGCAGGTCAAAGAGGTGATGATTCCTCTTAGGCTACACATACCTAAAGCTCCACTAAACCCCAATTTTAAGGATGGGGAAACTGAAGACGAGAATTTAAGTGACTCACCCAAGGTCACAGAAAGCTAAGATTCAAACCTGGGTCTCCTAATTCTGGTCGAGTGCATTTTCTACTATATTACTAGATAATTGAATGCTAGATTTAGGGTCTGAGGACCTGGATTTATGTCCAGGCTCTGCTTTGTATTATTTGTGTGGCCTTGGGTAAGTCACCTTGATTTTATGACTGTCAGTTTCCAAATTTGCAAAATGCGGGAGTTAAACTACATTGACTTCTAAGGTCATTTCCTGCTTTATAGTTTTGTGAACTTGTGATTGACTTTCTCTATGCCTTTCTTCATACAATTCTCTCTCCCTACAGTGCTTTCCTCCACCCCAGCTATGCCCATGGAAAGCCTATCCATTCTTTAAGGATCCAGCTCAAACATTACCTTTTTCATGAATACTGTGCTCTCTCTCCCACTCCTGCCAAGAACCCTCCTTTGAATTCAAATACAGTATCATATTCTGCTTTGAATTGTCCTCAGTATCCTTATCTTATATTTCCAAATGAACTATAAGGTCCTTGAGAACAGGGACTGTGTTGCATATTTGTCTGTACTCCTTTCCCTACCTGATTCCTCTGAGCTAAGTCGTCATTGGGTACAGAATTGCTCAAAAAGTTTCTTGAGTGATGCTTCTAATCCCGGGGACCCCTGGGCTCTGTACCTTCCAGCAGGAGCTCCATCACTTCCTCGAATGTGCCAAATTTGACTGCTTTCAGCTTCTCCACATAGAAGCCCCGGGTCTTGTTCCAGCGAACAGGGAGGTGATGGTGGGGCCTCTGACTCAACAGGTCTCTCACCTGGAGGGTCAAGTGAAGAGGGAAGAGACACATGCCCTCTGCCCACGGATCACCCTCTCCTATTACTCCTAGGTGGGCATAAGCCCCTGACTCCAGTCCTGAATCCACCTCCATGACAACAAACCCCTCATCCATATTTTCATCCTAATTCCCATGTCCCTCTTGATCTGATACTCCCTCCTCAAGGCCCAAATAAAAGGCTCCTTGAGCAAGATCTTTTCTATTTTCTCTGTCCCATTTGGCCCCACCTGTTCATTGTAGATTTCTAAGTAAGAGGCGCTGAGAGTGATGGGGGTCCCAACATTCTGGACTTTATCCAAGAGACAGGCAAAGGACCTCTGCATGAGCCCCGTTAGGCTGGGGGGCACAGTTTCCCCTTCTCCCTACAAGGAAAGGGAAGGCTGAGGGTGGAGATAAGTCTAGAACCCGGTAATGATACAGAGTGGTAGAAAGAGCAGTACATTGAGCTCCATGAGACCTGGATCCTTCATGAGACTGGCTCTGTCACTAACTTACTCTGTGTACTTTAAGTGACAAACCTTTTAAAAAAAAACTTTGAGTTTCATTCTCTTCTTTATTTGTAAAATAGAGATGACATCTCTTGACCTGCCTACCTCACAGGAATATATATATATATATATATATATATATATATATATATTTATTTATTTGGTGAGGCACTCGGGGTTAAGTGATTTGCCCAGGGTCACACAGCTAGTTAAGTGTGAAGTGTTTGGTCTGAGGCGGCATTTGAACTCAGGTCCTCCTGGCTCTAAGGCTGGAGCTCTATCCACTGTACCACCTAGCTGCCCCATCACAGGACTGCTATGAGGATCAACTAAGATGTGAAACAACTTTAAAAACTGCCATGGAACAAAATTGCCATAGATGCCTACAGTATTTGGCCTAAGCCACCTTTACTAGCACAGACCTGGAATTGTTTAGTCTAAATGTTTCTACACAAATTTCTGAAAGTCTAACCTAAATCTCTTATGCTATGGCTCAAGGTTATTTGTTCCTTCAGCTAGTATTTGTGGTTGTTGTTGGAGCATTGGGATCACCAATGACTGTTACTATTGATCTCTAAGTCTCAGGTTGGTTCCATAGATAGAAGTAGAGTGGTACTTACCTGGGGAGAAGGCCCTGTCAGAGTATAGGTCTTCCCAGAGCCTGTCTGGCCAAAGGTGAAGGCTGTGCAGGAGAAACTGAAAATAGGAGAGGCTGGAGCATAGATACTGTGATAAAGGGCCAGGGGTAGACGGGACCCAGAGACTGGGGATTGTATAGAGGGAATGGGAGAGAAGGGCTAGACCATGGGACTGAATGAGAGAAGGGGAATAAGTCAGGGAAAAGTGGTGGGACTGGAGGGACTTAGGAGCTGGAAGAGAAGGTCTTGGGCAGGTTCCCCACTCCTGGTCTCGGATTTTTCTATTTCAGCATTGGCCCTAGGAAGTCCTCACCCATGCAGGAGAGAAAGTTGTACTGGTTGGGCAACTAAGGGGAAAAGGATTGGGGTCCAGGAGAGGGTAGGGGTGGTGGGAAGCTGAGAGCGGATGAAATAGACAGCAACCTTACCCACGGAGAGCAAGCTCCACCAGACGCTGGACTCCGCTGCCCTGGAACACCTCGTCCTGAGTGCGGGCTCCATCCATTACTACGCTGAAGTGAAAGGCTACATCCTGGCCACCACCTAGAGGACTCACCTGGGGATGTGTGGAAGCTCAGGGTCCAACCAGAGTGGGGTGTATGTGTGTGTGTGTGTGTGTGTGTGTGTGTGTGTGTGTGTGTGTGTGTGTGTGTGAGAGAGAGAGAGAGAGAGAGAGAGAGGAGAGAGAGAGAGACAGACAGACAGACAGACAGACAGACAGACAGAGAGGGAGAGAGAGATAGTGAAAGTGAGAACAAAAGAGATTGAGGGGGAGGCAAGTGGGGGAGGGGTGCAAGGGCAAGAGGTTTGAGGAATCCAGATAGAGACTTAGACAATGCTGAGGTGACTATGGTTGATTCCTTTACTCATAGCTCTGGGGGACTGGACAGGAGAGGAAATCTCCATCCAGAGGGTGTTTAGGTGAGGAGTTTGGGGGACTGGGAGGACAGAGACCCCTCTGAACTAAAGAAACGGGGGATTGAGGTTAAGGCTGGGCTCAGCACAAAAGAAGTTCTATATACAGGGAAGGAAGAAATCCATATGGGAGGGGGTAGATGGGAAGAGTCTTACCCGCAGAGTCCTGGGGCCAGAACAGTGAAGAACACTTTGCTCCCCTCTACGGAGCTCAGCCTGGTTCATGGGGCGGACTCTGCAGGGGTACAATCTCACTCTCTGGTCCCTGCTCTGACTTCACTCAGCACTTGTGTCCCTTCCCTTCCACTTTCTTTAGTTCATCCCCAGCTATCTACCCTTCCCTCAGATTCAAACAAGATCATGCTCCCACAATTCCTCACCTAAGCACCACCTGGATAGGTGTTTCCATTCCTTCTGCCCTCTCTCCCAGGGCTTGGGGCTGGTTCCTGAAGAAAGTCACTGAAGTCACCACCTCCTCACAACTGTCCCCACCTGCCCTACTCTTCTCCTCATCCCTGTTCATCCCACCAGCTCCATCTGGAACCATGAAGTCTGCGGGCACAGGGTGCCCTGGGACTCACCCAGTGGGACACTGGAAGGGTTCTCCATTTCTGACTTCCATGCTGGATCATGTACCTGCTATGACCATAGCTGGGCCTTTGTCTGGGGAAGGCCAGTGCATGTGGAAGAGATGAAGCAGTCTAAACTCTCACACCCAGAGGGGAGGAGACCCTGCCGCGGCTTCTACAATAACCCCTCCTCCTTGATGTCACGCAGAGCCCCACCTCCTCCCCCCCCCCTACAAGGTTAAAAACTCACTCCCCATCCAGGAAGCCATCGGGAATCTGCCCAAGGCTGTAAACCATGTGGGTAGTTAAAGATTTACCCCCACAGAATGTCTGGAGCACGTTTACCACATGGGTGGGTTAAGAGCAAGGTGGAGCCTCAGGGTAGCATTCATAAGGGGCCCCATTCAATCAGAGGTTTTGCTTATGATACATTTTAGAATAAAAATGAGATGGAGCATCTTTTGGGGACAATTGCCCTTTCTATTCTTATAATAAGGAGTGTAGAACATTTGATCTAAGAAGTCCCCTAAAGACCATCTAGTCCAATTCTCTTGTTTTACAGATGGGGAAAGTGAGATACCAATAAGGGAAGTGATTTTCTCAAAATCAGACAGTGAAGGAACTATGACTAGAACTCAGATGTCCTGACCCTGGCATCCCTTGCCAGAAAGGGACTTGAGTTCTTTTGCTTCTTACTTGAGTTATCCCCAAGATTCTGCTCCTCTCTGGCTACTAAGCTGGGAGGGCTAGGGTCTGCCTCAGGTCTAAGGGCCGAGCTAAAAGGAAGATGTCATTTCCCTAGCTGCCAGTTTTATTCTCTTCTAAAGCCAGGGCTGAACTTGGCAGAGAAGACTCACCTCCCCTCCTCCCCACTGCCCCAGGAGGTGTGTGTGTGGAGGAGGGAGGGAGCATAGTGGAGATCTGGTTAAACATTGTAGGATTGTCTGGGGAAAAAAATGTCCAAATACCCAGACTGGTTCGCAGAGGAGCTAGCCTCTTTAACTCCTTGAAGTCTGGCTCTGAGTCAGTTGGGCACAGTAGGAAAATATGGGACAACTTATGCGCTCACAATCCTACATGAAGTCATAGTCACTTATCCTGCCCCCATGCTCATAGAGGAAACTCCAATAGCAAACTTCTTCAAGGAAAGATTTCCCATGGATGGAAGGGCTTGTCAGCATCACTGACCCCACCCTGTCTGAAAGGATTTGCTTCTCTGGATCTCAGTGGACTGAACTTCACTTAGAAATTTATTTGGGTTAACAAACTCCTTTTATGAGGCACATACCTCTTAGAGTGAATTAGTTGAATTGGGTGGCTCTTTTTCTACCATTGGGAAGGGGAGAAAGGATGGAGGGAATAAGTATTTATTTGGTGCCTGTGATGTCCTGTAATTGTGCTAAGCATTTTACAAATATGACATTTGATCCTCACAACAACCCTTTGAGGTAGGTACTGTTCTTATCCCTATTTTACGGTTGAGGAAACTGAGTCAGACAGAAATTAAATGACTTGCCCTGGGTCACACAACTAGTATGTGTCTGAGACTGGATTTGAACTCAGGTCTTCCTAACTCCAGGCCTAGTGCTTTATCCACTCCACTACCTAGCTACCTAACCACTGAGTTGAGGACCAGACTTGATGACAGAATGGGTATGGGTATGGGAAGGGCAAGTGCGTAGAGTGCTGGACTTGGAGTTAGGAAGACTAGAATTCAAATCCAGCCTTAGACACTTACTTGTGTGACCCTGGGCAAATCACTCAACCTCTTCTTACCTCAGTTTCCTCATTCATAAAATGGGGATAATAATAGCACCTACTCCCAGGGTTGCTGTGAGGATAAAATGGGATAACTGTAAAGCATTTTGCGAACTTTAAAGTGTTACATAAATTCTAGATATTAATGTCAATGATATCAGAATGTCAGGGAAGAAAAAAGACAGGGTCTGGGAAGCTCAAAGAAACATGAAATTACCGGATACTGAAGGGACAGGTGGAAGAAGGTTCCTGGAATAGGGATGGAGCATAGAAAAGGAAATGGAAAGTGATGAAAGACAAACCTTCCCATCCCTCCCATACATGCTTCCGATATTTTCTAAGCATTGATCCTTTGTATTTCATATTAACATACCATCATTTACCCATATGCTAGTCATCTTTCCATGGCTGGTTATTCCTGAAACACTTGTTTTATTCTTCTGGAAATGAGCCTGGAGTTGACATCTGATATTTCCTCCCATTTTAAAAAGCAGATAATTTAAAATTTTGTGTATGCTGTGAAACCATCAATCAAATTCATTATGGTAAGAGAGTTCAGATTGTTGCCATTCAACAGAAATGGTGAACTGAGGCCCTGGGAACTTTCTCCCTTCTTCCTTCCCATTTCCCACCTCCCAGCAAACCTAAGTACATTAACTGTCAGGGGATGAGGGTTAAATACTAGAACATGATTTTCCACCATAAATTCTGCCTTCAAGACTGCAAGGAATAGGAGAGATAGTGATGCCTTGAGAAGAGGTTGGCCTGAGTGGAGGGTTAAGGGCACTCAGGGCTGAGCTGTCAGCCTCCCCTAGGTCAGAGGTGTGTTCAGCACCATGGATAGTTCCAAAGGGCTTGGAAGGCACGGGTCCTAGCATATCTGATCATCCCCTTTAGCTTTGCAGCATTCTATCCTCAAATCCTTAGACTTAAGCAATTCAATGAACATTATTGAGTACCTATATGTACAGGGCAAACAATAAGCATCTATTAAGCAATTACTACATCCCAGGTACTGTGCTAGATGCTAGGTATAAAAAGACAAAAATGAAACAGTTCTTGGCCTCAAGGAGCTTATGTTCTACACGGGAGACAGCATACACATGTACATGTATATATGAAACAAATACAAGGTAATTAAGTACTGTCAGGGGGAGAGAACAGGGAAGGCTTCATGCAGAAAGTTCACATTCTGGGATAGGACTTCTTTGAGACCCTCCTACTTAAAGAAAGTGCCAAGGTCAGGGAGAAAAGCAAAAATCTCCCAGATCTGGGAGAAAACAACTTAGAAAACAACCGAAAGGATGGAAAGTGGCTACAAAAACACTTAAATGAGAAACAAAATGGAAAGTAAGGCCACTGGGTTCCTCCCTGTAGGCAAAATAAAATGTGGGAAAGATCTGCCAGACTATCTGACTTGTGAGTCAAAGCCCCTGGTATAATTGGACTTCAAGAATAGATGCTGATGGAGTCTGGTTCATGCAGGACATTCCAGGATTATCTTTCATAGGATCATAGGATTCAGAATTGTAATGGATCCTCTAGTCTTGAAAGAGATTATCTTTCTCAGCCTCATTATTTTACAGAGGAGACTCCTGAGGACCAGAGAGATGACATGACTTGTCCATGTTCATACAGGTAGTAAGAGACAGAACTGGGATTTGAACCCAGGTCTTCTTATTTTTTTAATATAATTTTATTCTATTTTCAGTTCCAAATTCTTTCTTCCACTTCCCCCTCTCCCGTACATTGAGAAGGTACAAAAAGCAAAAGCCAGTACAAATATGTATAGTCATGCAAAACAAATTTTCCTATTATCCATGATGCAGGAAAAAACAGCAAGAAAAGAAAATATGCTTCAATCTGTACTCCAAGTCCATTAATCCTCTGCTTAGGGGTAAATAGCATGTTCCATCAAGAGTTCTTGGGAATTGTGGTTGGTCATTATGCTGATCAGAGTTACTAAGTATTTCAGAGTTGATTATCTTTACAATATTGCTGACTGTATGAATATTCCTCCTGGTTCTGCTCTCTTCACTTTGCATTAATTCATACAAGTCCTGTCATATTTTTCTGCATTATTTCTTATAGCACAGTAGTATTTGATTACATTCATACACCATAACTTGTTTAGCCATTCCGCAATGGTAGGGTATCTCCTCACTTTCCAATTCTTTTCCACCACAAAAAAGTGCTGCTATAAATAGTTTTGTATATATGAGTCTTTTTCCTCTTTCTTTGATCCCTGGAAGTATAGGAAGTATAGTAGTGGTATTGCTGGATCAAAGGGTATGTGCAATTTAATAGCTTTGTGGGCATAATTCCAAACTGCTTTCCAGAATGGATGGACCAGTTCACAGCTCTACCAATGGTGCATTAATATACCTGGCTTCAAAGAGCCCCTCCAGCATTTAATTTTTTTGTTCTGTGTGAGGTTGTATCTTAGAGTGGTTATAATTTGCATTTCTCTTATTATTAGTGGTTTAGAGTATTTTTTCTGTGGCTATTGATAGCTTAGATTCCTTCAGCTAAACACTGCTTATTCACTCCTTTGACCACTTATCAATTGGGGAAGAACCCAAGTATTCTGATTCCAAATCCAGTACTATTTCCATTGCACCAGGCTGTTCATAGGAAAATCTTTGTTAGTCAGCACTGTCACTATCATTCATTAGCTTTCTCATTGTTGTCATTACCATGACAACAATAATAGAAATTCACATGTATATGAACTCTTAAATATATAAACTAATTTGTTCTCCACAAAACCCTTTGAGGAAGGTTATGCAAATATTTCCACATTTTTCCAATGGGGAAAGTAAGGATCAGAGAGGTCAAGTGATTTATCTAAAGTTACCTAGCTAGGAAGGTGTAAAACCAGGACCCAAACCTAGGTTTTCTGATGCTAAATCTGGTGCTCTTTTGCCTAAACCACAGCTTCCTCTAATCACATAATAGTAATTCACAGTTGTATAGTGCTTTAAGGTTTAAAAAGTAGTGTCTTCATGAGAGAACATGATTAAGGCTCGCAACAAGTTGACTGACTTACTCTTTTTAAGAAGATGTGGATGAGATTTGAAAAGCATGAGTAGGTGTGAATGGGTTGTAATCGACTTCATTGTGAAAAACGTCCACATTGATGAGATGATTCTAGATTCATTGGAATATTTCTTTACAACATGATATGAAATAGTTATCATATTATCAAACTGAGAAAACTGAGTCTCTGAGAGTCTAAATAACCTGCCGAAAGTGAAATAACTAGTGAGTGGTGGAACTGGGACTTGAACTCAGGTCCTTCGAATCATAATTCAATGGTCTTTCTATTGTCCCATGACCACCTCTGATCACCATCGTGTTACTATCCTCACCAATGTCACTATCACACCACTATTCTCT